TCTTTTCTTAATTTGTGGGAATCTCTTTTCTACGACTGGTTCCCCTCTTATTCTCTTGGCAGTGCTGAGTTTTTAATTATTAAAGTTTTAGTAGAGTCTTGGATGGGAACTTGTGCTCACTTAATGCCTTAAGAGTTCTCTCTGCCCCAGGGAGGAGTCAGGCCAGCCTTAGTGGCCAGCTGCAGTGCCTGGAGAATGGCCATGATCTGACATGGATCCTGTTTTTCAGAACTCACTTGGTTTCGACACACCCAAATGCCACCTAAGACTGGTCATGGTGGCTGACTTGGGATGGTCAGGGAATTGTCTAAATTCCCGTAGTTTCCTGGGGCTCCATGGGACTTATTGCCTACACTGGTAACTCGGGAAGCGTGTGACAGGAGGTCCTTGCTTGATGTCTGTGGTATTGTGCTCTAGAAATTCTGACTGCCATAGGCTGGTCTGAAGACCAGCGGCGTTGGCATCACCTGGGAGCTAATTGTTAGAAACGAAGAATCAGTCCTCATTCCAGACACACTGAGTCAGAGTCTGAATGGGAACAAGGTCTCCAGGTGCGCATGGAAGCATGAAAAGTGCTGACATGGACCCAGGTATGGTTCCGTGTGTTGATGGGACTGTCTCATGAGCCAGTTCTGTAGCTGGGAGTTTTTTCCTCTGATGTATATCGGGATATGTTGCCAGATCCATGCTTGCCTATTGATTTTTTAAAAAATCTTTTCTTGAGATAGAACTTCATAAGGGCTGTTGGTAATCTGTGGGAGATACCAAAACTTTTGATGCACCTTCATGTGGGTATGTTGGCATTGAGGCGTGGCAGAATTCGGAGGACATGTTGCTGAGTGGCTCCAGTCCCATGGGCTCTCAGAATGATAAACTTTTTGAGTGTGTCTCTGGTGAGAGTAATCTGAATACCATCTTCTGTCAAGATGGGTATTCCCTTACGTTGCTAGCAGCCACCCATCACCCTTGCATGCTTTCTGGGGCTTGTAGGGAGAGTTGTTTTATGTCAGAGTTTCTTCGACTCCTTTGCATTTCTGGCCAAAGGCAGTCTTAAGTCTGTTTGCCAACTGCTAGTAGTTGCCCCCTCACTGCATTTTTGTCCCCATCACATACCTTTACATTGTGAAACTTAGTCGTCAGTGCCCCTCCCTGGACTTGGCTGGTAGATGGCCCCTGGGGCCCTGGGTGTAGAGAATCTGTATGTATCTCTTCCCTCAATGTTAAAGGTCGGTTTTCTTTGCACAGGAACTGCACTTGGGAAGAATCTCGTTATCGGCGGTGGCCCCAGTTACCCACTGCTGTGGGACCATCGGTGTTTCCCTGTGGTTTTCTTGGCTTCATGGAGCTCCTCCAGTTCTGTTTTGGGGTTTTTTGACATCTGTCTTCTATTTGATATTATTTTTAGAATTCAGAAATAATTCATTTTTCTATTCTCTTCTAAATTTAATTTATAGCTATTAGTTTTGATTTCTTTATCTTCTGGGTTATTATAGAATGGATTTTTTTTCCGTTACTGTTTTGAAAGCATGGTATACATAGTAACGTCAAAGTCCTTTTCATATTCTTTTATCATTTCTACTTTCCTGAGAGAATATTCTCATTCCCTGCTGTTTTAGATGCTTTGAAATTTTAATTTGCAAAATCACCTTGAATGCATATTTGTCATTTTTGTTGTTTAGATTTTTTTCCCTCTTGCCCTTTCTCTCCCTCCTCATACTTTGGCAGATACTACCCCCCTTCCCAGCCCCAGTTCAGAATGAAGTGTTATAATAAGTAGTTACTGCCTTTCATCCTGCCACGATTTTAGGGACCCTTTTCCTCGCTGATTGGGCTTAGCCTTGTTTTTGTTTTGGAGTTGTGTGTGCTCTTTCTGTGACCCTTGCAAGCAGCCACACACAGTCTTTTTAAGCATTTTTGGGGGGCTAGGTTGGAGGGAGGATATCACAGCCACCCATTTAAGTTGGAAAGACTGGTTTCAATTCCATGTTTTTATGGGCGTGTTCTCTCTCCTTATTTCCATACAGAATTTAATTTCCAGCTAACATAGCTGGTGTCTGATCCTAGAGCACATGGGGCTCTTGATTTCAGCCATTACGCCCTGTTATGTTTTTCACACGTAACATCTTTATGTTTGCCATTTTAAAAAATGGTTAGGTCTTTTGAAATTATTGTAAAAACTAATTTTATCTCTCTGTGTCATGTATTTATAGTTGGGATGAGGGAGCAGGAAATTTCTACATGACTTATCCCATTATCCTGACCAAAGAAAGTACTTAAAGTTTATTACTTTAGGAACATAACTCCATGGTGTTCTAGAAGTTTACTGAAATGGGAGAAGGACAAGTGTTAGGAAACCAGTTACTGTTATTTCAACAGAATTGGGGTGGAAGAGAAGAGATGAGTTTGACAGATTGGGTAGGTAGCAGGGCTCTTTATCTAATATTTTATTTTGTTGCACTGATTTGGTCTCATATAGACATTATTTTTCCATGAACTAGCTTGATGTTCACTTTTTATAGTATTTTATAAAACTTTGCTGTTTGATTTTACTCTTTCCATATAACTTAAATGTAGCTTGTTAGTTCTTAAGATTATCCTAAGTCATTTTTAAAAGCTCAGTATTTTGGAAGTAATAGTGATTATTCAGTGGCCGATCAAGATGGTATGAAAGGAAAACACTAGCAGTATTAACAATTTCTTCTTCATTTGAGTCTTCATAATTACCTATCTGGGGCAGACTTTTTAATCCACAAGCTTAATGAGTCTTTTAGAGACTAAATAGGCTGTCCCTGATGCTCAGCAGGTGCTTTAAGAGGGGTCTCATGTTACCTGTTTAATTATACAACCATTGCTAAGTGCTGTGAAGTTTTACAGTTAATTAAGTAGTATCATTTTGTAATGGATTATCCAGCTTTACTAATTTACTTTTTAAGATTGGCACAATTTGGCACTGTGACAATAATGCACTTAGCGTTCTAAAATTGGTAATGTGTCTTCCTTAAACATTTATTTCCAAGGGCAGCAATAGCCATAGACATAGGTGGCGGCCTACAGGCTGTGTTGTTAAGGAGCCTCATGGTTCCTGGGTAACTGAAAATAGCAACCCCACAGATTCTCTGACTTTTCTAAACCTAAACTGAAACTTTACTATTATTTAACAGGTTAATAACACGTTTGGTTGCTTGTTTCAGATAGATTATAGGCCTGTATTTTAAATAACTTGACCAAGATGACAGCTAGTAGTGGAGCTGGAATTGAAGTCATGTCAGTCTGGCTCTAACCTGTATTCTTAACGATCGTATTATCTTTAAAGGTAGAAGTGGGAGCATTGTCCTTGCCTCCTGTTCCCTCAGTGTCTCTCTTCTCAGTGGTAATTGTTTCTAGGATCTTTCTTCATTTTCTTCCTTCTCTTTATATTTGTAAAATAGAGAAAGAATGCATTAAAATAATGAATAAATCATTGGTTTGTTTGTAAAAGAGTTCTCTAAATGAAAAATAAGATAAAATACAACACTGTAATCAATGTCAAAGGGCAAGATATTTTTTAAACTTTATTTTTACTGTTGACACTATTATAGGTGGCCCCATTCCCCCCCCTGCCCCCACCTTGCCTAACTTCACCAAGCCCATCCAGCCCATAGGAGGTAGCTAAGCACTTCATCCAAGTACCAGACAATAGCCTTCAAGAGTCAAATCAAACACTTTGAGTGTCCCAGCTTTGAGCCTCCCTTCCTCCCCTCCCCCCAGAAAAAAGAGGGCCCCTTAAAGTCACTGCTAGGTGTACCCAGCGACCCTCTAGACCAGGGTTGGGCAAACTTTTTGACTAGAGGGCCGCAATGGGTTCTTAAACTGGACCGGAGGGCCAGAACAAAAGCATGGATGGAGTGTTTGTGTGAACTAATATAAATTCAAAGTAAACATTACATAAAAGGGTACGGTCTTTTTTTTTTTTTTTTTAGTTTTATTCATTTCAAACGGGCCAGATCCGGCCCGCGGGCCGTAGTTTGCCCACGGCTGCTCTAGAATCAAATACGGCAGTGTGGCCTTGCCCACAGTTGGAGGCAGAAATTGGAGTCTGGACCCTGCACTCCCCAGACTGGTGCTGTAACAATAGGAATGCTCTTCCCTGGGAAGGTGGTGTCTGGCTCTCCCGGACAGACTGCATTCCCACCCATTTTCACCACCAGATGCTGTGGGGCTCCTTTTCCTGATGTTGCTCTTGGTGGGGATCCCTGTCACCACGCTCCTAGGAGAGGGAGTTTTACAGCCACCAGCACATCTGAGTGTGGGGCTAGCCTTTTCTGAGTCTCTGCCCTTCTTACCAGTCTCTACATGGCTTCTTCTGTAAATTCTTGGTTATTATATTTCAGTTTAGCTAGCCTTCAGTTGATTATTCAGGTTGATTGCTTTATAATTTAGCTATAAATCCAGTTTGGGCCGGGAGCAGGTTGGTGTAGCTTCCATGAATTCTGCAGCCATCTTGGAATCCAAAGAGCAAGAGATTTTTAACTCAGAAATAAAACCCAGTCAGATTGGCTTTGTAGCATACTCTGAATAAATATAGAAACAGCCACTTCTTTATAGGAAAAGGTGGCTGAAAGAAAAGGACAAACAGCCAGAGGAAAGTCACAATATGGGGAAAGAAAATTTTAAATTTGCATATTAGTGTTTTATTATATAGAATAAGGAAAAGGAGAATTTAAAGTTGAGCAGAGAGAGCAGTATTTATGTCTGTGGCAGTAAAATATATGCCCATTCATGAAGCTTTTATGAATGCCAATTTTTTCTTAACATAGAATTGCAGAAAGAGTTAGAGGCAGAGAACACCAATTTAACATGCTTCCAATATTTTATTTAAAGTTAATGCTCAAGACATGGTTACCAGACCATAAGATGAAAATGTATGTGTTTTGATAACTTGTAATGTATAGTATGTAGCCAGACCTATGGAACCACACTTATTGTTACATTGCACATTAATTCTATAATTACAATTATAGATTTATCTAAGTGGATTTCTTCCAAAGCATGACGCAGACCACTCTTCCACAAGTCTTTCAACCCCAGAAAGGAGTTTCATCTTTATAAACAGTCGACCAATACACCAAAAAGACATATTAAAGGTAATCTGTTTAAGAAAAAAAGCATTGCTTCTATCAGAAATGAAAACTAGCTCTGTCATTTGTCAACTTGTTACAAGGGTTACTGCTAATACTTTATTCTGAAACTAGAGGTCCAGGGCACTAAATTCGTATACAGGAGGCAGGGGATGTCGGGCCTAAACCAGCAGTCAGACATCCCTCTTGCAATCCAGGATGCTGCATGCACCAGTGACCGTACTTTTCATACAAGTGAAAGGCATTTTGCTGTTGTATGGACAGCTACATTTTTTTGCCTTGATTATAAAAAATATACATAACATGATCCTTCTGAGGCAGTAGTACCATTTTCCCCATCTTATGGGTGGAAAAACTAAAGCAGAAAGAAGTTAAGTAATTGGCTTTGTCACACAGTTATAAGTGACAGAATCAGAGCTGACCACAACATGTGCAAGCCAGTGTCCATGCGTGTCATTGTTGCATCATCCTGTTTTTTCAGTGTTAGAGTAGCCTTGCCAGGTTTTAATTTTTAAATCTAAGAGACAGTTCCCAATATATAGGGTAGAGTCCCTAGGCCTGGCTGGCGATTGGGGCCATCTATGGGTGACCAGTGGGCAGGCTGATCAGGGCCCCCTGCTGGCACCTGCCTTGGCTGGCGACCTGGCACCACCTGCTGGCTGGCCCCACCCCCCGATCACTGCCACCGGTCACCTCCCTCTCGGTGGGCAGACGCTCACTGTAGGGCTGCCTCCCGCTGCCTGCCAGCCCCGACCCCCCATCACCATGTTGAGCGTTTGCCCCCTGGTGGTCAGTGCGCATCATAGCAACCAGACGTTCCGCTGTTCACTCGATTTGCATATAGGGTTTTATTATATAGGATAAGGAAAAGGAGAAATATATACAATAATATTTATTAAATATTTTTCTAGGTACCTTACATATGATGTCTGATTGAGTCTTTACAACTATGTGATGTATTATTTTCTTTTTCTTTTTGATGAAAAAAAAATTGAAATGTTAGTCACTTTTTTTGGTTTCATAGCCAGGAAGTAACAGAGTTTGGATTTGACCTCTGGACTTTGACACTGTGGAGATACACACACACACACACACACACACACACATCTATCTATATATCTATCTATTTCAGAGAGGGAGGGAGAGGGAGAGAGAGATAGAAACATCAATGATGAGAGAGAATCATTGACCGGCTGCTTCCTGCACACATCACACTAGGGATGGAGCCTGCCACATGGGCATGTGCCCTGACTGGGAATTGAACTGTGACCCCCTGGTTCGTAGGTTGATGATCTTTAACTATGAAGTCAGTTGCCTTGGATGTTTGTACTGCTTAATGAATGCTTGTACTTCATTCCCATAGGTTCAAGGCCTCTAAATGAGTGTTACTGTTTAGATACTGATTTTCCTGATAAGCAGTTACATTCACTCAGTTGAATATTCTTCTTTTGGTGGTATTTTATGGATGGCAATATTTATTTATATGGGTTTTTTTGTCTTTTATTCATTATATATATTTCTAGCTAATCCGACGTTATTACAATCTGAAGTGCCTAAAGGAATCTACTCGTTTGTATCCCATTTTCTTTCTGAAAATTGATGTTCCTACAGCTAACGTGGATGTAAATTTAACACCGGATAAAAGTCAAGTATTGTTACAGAACAAGGTAAACTTTTTTAGATAAATTTTTGAATTTATGTTATTTACAAACTTATACTATCCTAACCATTTTTGTGTGACAGTAGATTTGCTTGTTTATACCTATTTTTAACTATTATTTTAAATCTTGTCTATTTAATTTTTCTATAATTTCTCCTAACATTTGTTAATTTGTATTTGTAGGAATCTGTTTTAATTGCTCTTGAAAATCTGATGACGACTTGTTACGGATCACTACCTAGTACAAATTCTTATGAAAATAGTAAAACAGATGTTTCCTCAGCTGACATGGCTGTTAGTAAAAAAGCAGAAACAGATGTGCTTTTTAATAAGACGGAATCATCTGGAAGTAATTATCCAAATGTTGATACTTCGAGCATTTCTTTTCAAAATGATGTACATGCTGATGAATCTGGAGAAAACATTAACGGTTGTTTAAATCATATTCATGTTCATGACCATTATGATGACCATTTTATTAGTGAAAATTCTAACATGGATAACACTAAAAATACATTTCTGGAGATCCCAATGGATAATTTATCAAGTGAGGACACCCAGAAGGAATATAGTGAAACTTGTTTTGTAGGTTCTGTTACGCACGCCCAGTCAGAAAATGGCAGTCAAGGCCGTATCGATGAGAGTGGGGGAAATGAGAAAGAAGCAGTTCCTGAGAAGTCTGTGGAAATTTGTGCAGATAACTGGAGCAGGAGAAATGCACTCAAAAATGCGATGGGAGAAAACATCGAACCTGTGAAAATCCTAGTGCCTCCGGGAAGTTCAGCACGTGAAGGAAGTGAGAGGAGCCCCCCAAGCCCTGAACAGGAGAATCCCAGTGACGGGTCCTGGAACAAAAAGTCAAACGTGGTGGATCACAAGTCGGGACAGCTGACCGCTTACGATTTAATTAGCCGTCGCGCCATCAAGAAACCCATGTCAGCAAGCGCCCTTTTTGTTCACGATCATCGTGTTCAGTTTCTCACAGAAAATCCTCAGACCAGTTTGGAGGCTGCAACGATACAGATGGAAGAACTGTGGAAGACATTGAGTGAAGAGGAAAAGCTGAAGTAAGTTTCCAGAGCTTGCATGTGACCTGAATGTTCAAATATTTCCATCCACTGGGTTACAAAAAAAATTTTTAACTTCTTATTTATGGAAAAGCAGAGTGGAAAATGCCTTTTGACTTGGCTAGAGTACCTTTTTTGGCATCACTTTTTTGTTAGAAAATTTTGCTTTTGCTCTGGCTGACCCGCTCTTAAGCCTTTCCCTCCCACCTTCCCTTCCCTCTGTCCTTCCTTAAATGAGGGGATATGTTGAGGGCATTCAGTGTACCAGGCCCTATGTACCATAGCTAGTCACTTCAAAGACAGTCATAAGTAAACATTTTTTACTTCTAAATGGTGTAGCCTAGGGAGGAAGACAGTTTTACAATAATAATCGTAGAATATGATGAGTTTTTTAAATCTTTATTGTTTAAAGTATTACAGATGTCCCCTTTTTTGCCCCCGACCCCCATCCCCACTCCCATTCCCACTCTAGGCCTTCACCCTTAAAAAATATAGGGAATTATGAAAACACTTAGCAGTTGGTCTTAATCTCATCTGTGGGACAGGAAACACTTCCCTGAATAGAAATTAATCAGAAAGGTGTAGGGAGTTTTCTAGAGAGAAGGAACAGCGTGTAAGAAGGTACAGAAACTAGAAGCAAAATGATGTTCTTTGGGAACTGAAGGGTGCCCTCTCTGATAGTAGTTGAATTTATGGGCGAGTGATAAAGAAAGATGGAGAAAGGCAGACCAGATCATGAAGGGGTTCTGTAAGCCATAACAGAGCTTGAGAAAGAACTAGAATCAGGGATTTCTGCTGAGAACTTAGGACAGACTGGAGCAGTACTTCCATCTTTCAGTTCTTCGTTTCTGGTTCTCGTGTCCCTCCCCACCCCCATGGTTGCCTCTCCTTCAGTGGATTGGAAACCAGATTTTGGCATGTGACCTGCCACTGGGCTCTCAGTCAATTGATGTTAACTCCAACTTTGACTTGCAGTCAGTAGGAACATATTTCTACTTAAAATAGCTAAGAATAAATTGTAATTGGGGCATTATTGAAAATGGTAAATAAACTTTGTAACTACATGTAATCTTTAGTCACTAAAACATCACTTTAATTGATTACTGGTCAAATCAGAATTATAATTTTTCCATTCCAGTTTATAATCCCTTAATGATATTTAAAAAAAGTAGCAGATGTTTTTACTTAACATTCACTTAATATTCCCTTGGACATAACTTTTTATATTTCCCAAGAAACTCATGAAATTGACTTCTTGAGTAAATCAAAAAATTAGTACCATATGTGAAAATTTGCACTTTATAATTAATTACAAATGGTGACCTTCATCTTGAACTCATTTCCACTGTATAGGAAATCTTGAATTTTGAATGTCCAGGAGCTAAAAATACTTAATTGTAGTAATAGTGAAAGTAAGTTAATCAGGTGTTTTATATAGGTAATCCACAAGTTCGGATTCTAAGTAGAAATGAGAGAAAATAACATAAAAAATTATGAATATGACATGGTGACTAACCAAAAGAGGCATTTTTTGCCTAGTTTACAGAGAAACAAGGTCTTTTTACATTCTCATCCAGATAGCATTTCTTTATTTAACAAACAGGTACTAAGTGCGAACTAAACAACATACTATGGTCTCTTGTCTCTTAATTTCACTTTTAACATTTAATACAGCTCTCCCACTAATAGCATTTTTATTTTCTGACACAGATCTATTCATATTTCTTAAAAATGTTCTATGCATATTACCTACAATGGAATTCAGCCCGTTTCTTACATTTCTTAAAACAAGAGATAACATTTTCTAGACTCAAATTTAAAACTGAATTTAAAAAAGAAATTAGCAAGCTTGCTTAAATAATTATTAACCATTAGTCAAATTGTGTTCCCTTTTCATTATGTATCTTGATAGAAAATAATAGTATCAAACATCATCATTTACAATGTGCCAGGTATTACTCTACTATGAAGTAGCTGTAGATTATCCATACCGAGACACAGAAAAATTAAATAACTTGCCGAGATTTACGGAGCTACTAAGTGGCAGAGCCAAACCAGGCAGTCTGTCTTGGTGGTCTGTGCTCTTTGCCACTACACTTTGCTGAACATAATAGTCATTTTCAATTCTGGATATGCATTAGGATCACCCATAGAACTCTTTAAAAAACAGTACTGCCTGCCCTCAGCCTAGGCCTGGAGAAATAGAAACTTCAATTTTTTAGAAAAGGGTTGATCTAACAATTATGCTAAAACCCAGTAAAATTTTAAAATGTTCATTACTTCATACCTTTTTTCATTGATGACTCTAAAATGAGAAATAAGTAGTAACTGAAAAAATAAATGTTTAGCTATGAAACCATTATTATTTTAATCATTGTAATTTTGCTTGTTATATTGAATTTAATTTTACTATTATCTATTTAGTAAATGGAATATTAACGTTTGTAAATTTTCTTTTGCAGTGCTCAGGGAATTGCTTATTCCGTGTTGATGTGATAGCAAAAGTATAAGGAACTCTTTGGAGCTGGGATTGACTATTTTGTCTTTTCGTTGTTTTTTTTGGTGCCTGTGCCTTCAGTGCTTTCTTACATGGATTACATGGATTTTTAAATTGGGTAAAATATAGTGGCTGTGAAATGCATAGATCTTAACCATATATATAGCTCAATGCATTTCATATGTGTAGGTAGACCCATGGTCACCACCCCAAAATGTAGAACATTTCCATCACCCTAGAAAGTCCCTTTATGCCACTTTGGACCAGCCAATCTCCATACACAGCCCTGTTTTGATTTCCATCACACTAGCTTGCTTTTTCCAGTTTTTAAACTATATATATATATATATATATAGTTTAAAAACTGAAAATCACTGTATATATATATATACAGTGATTTTCAGTTATATATATATATATATAGTTTAAAAACTGAAAATCACTGTATATATATATATACAGTGATTTTCAGTTATATATATATATATATAGTTTAAAAACTGAAAATCACTGTATATATATATATACAGTGATTTTCAGTTATATATATATATATATAGTTTAAAAACTGAAAATCACTGTATATATATATATACAGTGATTTTCAGTTATATATATATATATATAGTTTAAAAACTGAAAATCACTGTATATATATATATACAGTGATTTTCAGTTATATATATATATATATAGTTTAAAAACTGAAAATCACTGTATATATATATATACATATATATATATAAAATCATATGTACGTTTATACCTAGCATCATCCCCTCAATAAAATATTTTAGTGATTTTCATCATATTTGTTGAGTGTATCTGTATAGTTTATTTTTAATAGATTACATTCAATTGTAAAATATATAGTCATGCACTGCCTAAAGATGGGGATATGTAGAAAAGACACAATAAATATGGCATAAAAGATTAAAATAGTACGCCTATATAGGGCACTTACCAGGAGGGCATGAGATTAAATCAGGCACAAAAGAAAATGATGCAAGAGATTTAATAAATACAAGATATATGAGGCTGCTGCCAGCATACCGTTTTACAGCAAACTTTTTTTAAATAAGTAGGCGTACACTCTAAAATAACAAAAGTATACTAGAGTAATACATAAGTATTGTTTTTGAACAGTCTGTGTCTATATATTTAAAGTGTAACTCTTGTAGACATATATTATTTTTTTTAATTTATTTATTTTGCTTTTTAAATTCAGCCTTACAACCTGCATTTTAATTGGAATATTCAGTCCATGTAATGACTGACAGGGTTGGGTTTAGGTCTACCATTTTCTTATTTTGTTCATCTCATCAGTTTTGTTCCTCTATTTCTCCTTTTTTGGGGAAACAGCCTTGTTCAGGTTAAAGGAATATAATTTAATAGTTAACTTTAATTCCTTTATTAATTTTGCATTAGTTTTTGCTTTGGGGAATATTTTATACATCCTTAATTTATCACTTAAGAGTTCATAGAATATAATTTCACACAAAAACAGAGTGGGTCAAAAGTAGGTTTATAGTTGTGAGTATGTGAGAGTTTATTCTTGTATTACTATTACTATTTTCCATATGAACAACTGTAAACCTACTTTTGCCTCACCCTGTATAAAAACTAGGCAAGTATAATTCCATTTACCACTCTTGTCCTTTCTGCAGTTGGTGTCATGTATTTTATACTTACATACAACATAAACCTCACTTTAAAATACTATATTTTTAAATTTAAAGTTATCTTTAAAAAATAATTATTTTAAAGATTTTTTTTTTCTATTTACCTACACAGTTACCATTTCTGCTGTTCATTATTTCTGAATATCCATTTGGTGTCATTCCTCAATAGTACAATGATGCTGAAAATAGATTCTCAACATATTTTTTCTGAAAGTGTCTATTTTTATGGTGGTGTTTGTTTTGTAATGTCTCTGTTTGTTTTTTTATCTAACTCCTTTCAGAATATTATTATTACCTTTCCTTTTTAGCAATTATGTAATACCTTTTTTCTCTTTTGACTGCTTTCTCTTTATTTTGGTTTTCAGCAGTTAGGATTCTAATATACTTAGTTAGCTGTGGATTTCTTTGGATTGATCCTGCTTGGGGTTTACTGACCTTGGATATATAAAATGTGTGTCTCCAAATTGGTTGTGTCAGCCATAATTTCATTTCTTCAAATGTTTTCCGCCCCTCACTTTTATTGTTTATATGTGACTTACATTTTGGGTTGCTGTTTATGCCATAAGTCACTAAGGTGTTTTTCAATCTTCAATCACTTTTCTCTCTGTTGTTCAGATGGGATAATTTCTATTGAGCTGTATTCTGTTTTACTGACCCTGTCTTTGCCATCTCTGACCTGCTGTTAAACCTCCCAGTAAATTTATTGTTTTAGATACTGTGTTTCTTAGTTTTAGAATTTCCATTTCCATTTTATTCTTTGATAATTTTCCTTCTCTGTTGAGTTACCCCCTTCTATTCTCTCATTATGATCATCTTTCCTTTAAGACCTTAAATACTTATAAAAACCTGTTCTTATTTATTTGGCAAATTCCAACATCTGAGTCATCTTGAGGTTGGTTTCTACTGATCACTTCTTTTCTTGACCATGAATCATGTTTTCCTGTTTTTTATTGGTTGAGTGATAGCTTCCGATTGTATAATGGACATTATTGCTCGTATGTTGTAGAAAATCTGGATTCTGTTTTCTTCTGAAAAGTGTTCGTTTTTGTTCTGCCAGGCATTTAAATTATTGACAGACAACCTTGAGCTTATGGAAGCTTTGTTTACACTTCAGTAGGGAGACTAAATTTTGCCTTTAGTCCTAGGGCAGCTTCCACAGTTACAGGACAGTTGTTGTTTTTTATTACCTCTAAAATGTGGTCTTCCTTCAGTTTTAACTGAAAGCCCAAAGTGTTTACCATGCCATCTAATTCTGTGGAATTCAGACTCCAATCTCTCTCTCCCTCTCTCTCTCTCCCTCTCTCTCTCTCTCCCTCCCTCCCTGACTGCTTGTGCTGTAACATCAGTATTCTTCCCTTGGTGACCCTGCAACAAGTAGCCACTGAAATACCTGTTTAGCTCATTTAGCCTTCTAGTGATTGTTATCTTCTGGGTTCCCACACATGGGGTTTTCTCCCTCAGTGTTCAGTTGTTTTGGAATCAAGGAGCTAGCTCTGTGTTCAGTTGACTCAAGCTAATGGCAGTGCAGCTTTCTGATGGGAGTTCTTGCCACTCCTACTCCTCTTAATGCTGGGAACTGCTCTCTGGGTAAAGGCTGTATAAATGTGGTTCTGTTTATTCAAGGGTTGAACCCATTACAGTTTCTGCCTGCTTTTACTGCTCTTCAGTACCTATGTTAAATGGGTGGTATCTATTTTGTTTATATATGGGAGGGATAGTCCAATATAGCTCCTTCACAATTATCAGGCCTGGAATGCCAGCTTTATCTATATATATAAAATGCTACTTGTGCAACCAGTTGCTATGACCCACACTGACCACCAGGGGCAGATGCTCAACACAGGAGCTGCTATGACGCGCACTGGCCATTTACAGAGAAACGGCACTGGACCTGGCACCCACAAAGCAACACTTGGCTTCCCCCAAGTGGGACACAGGCCCCGCCACCACCCTGGAGTGACACCCCACCAAATCGCAGCCAACACTGCCAAGGGTACATGGTGCAAAATGCGGCCCACAGCCTAGCCCAGCCTGGAAACAGTGACTGTGGGTACCGGGTAATGACATCACGTAGCAACGCCAGGCTGCCTCTCCCTAGCAACTAGCTTCCTTGCAGTTTCTTCAGCCCATGAACACGACTTGCTTTATAACCAGGTGGAAACCTTTTATACTTTAACCAAATGTCTGTGAAGCATTTTCCCGTGCCTCATCTCAGGATCTTCACAGAAGTCCTGGAGTAGGTTGATAGGAGACTTGGTGGAATCCCTTTTTTTTTTCATTAGCCGGAAAATGGAGATTTAGAAAGCTTAGAAACTTGACCTGACTGAAAAGAAGTAAGAAATGGTGGACCTTGAAAATGACTTCAGGTTTTCTCACTGCACAGAATATAGTCAAACACGGCTACTGTTAAATATTTTACCCTTTGTTCTCCCTGCGTGATCTACAACAATAATCTGCTTTGTATTGGTATTTATTGCTGTGTTGCTGAGAATTACCTGAAAGAGAAGTTGGGGTGCTTCACTGGGCTGGAAAAAGTTTAGCTACATCGGAAAGCAGGCCTAATTAAGCAAGTTTATTCTCTATCTATAAAAGGCTAAGTTGACTCGCGCATGTGCGATACATAGAAAGCTCTTGCTGGCCTCAATCGCATGCATGTGTTTCGATCTGTCATTGTCGATGGTGAATTTGGTTGACGCTTCTATTATAGAGAAAGGGCGAATAGTGATATTAAAATATCCTAATTTCCTTCCAATGTGCACAAATTCGTGCATCGGGTCATTCTTTTTTTATAAAATTTATTTCAGATGGTTAATGTATTTCTGATTACGAACTCATTAGTTCTCTTTATCTATTCATAGATATGAAGAGAGGGCTACTAAAGACTTGGAACGATACAATAGGCAAATCAAGAGAGCCATCGAACAGGAGTCACAAACCTCACTACAAGATGGCAGAAAAAAGATGAAACCCACAAGCTCATGGAGTTTGGCACAGAAGCACAAGTTGAAAACATCATTATCTAATCAGCCAAAACTTGATGAGCTTTTCCAGTCCCACGTTGAAAAAAAAAAGAGTCAAACCATTAAAATAGTTCAAATTCACTTTTCTATGGAAAACTTTAAAAAAAATGTAGAGAAACACAAGAAATTTGAACCAGAAGAGAAGGACGAACTTTGTTTAATCCACAATCTCAAGTTTCCTGATGGATGGCTAGTTACATCCAAAACAGAGGTAATGTTGTTAAATCCATATAGAGTGGAAGAAGCCCTGCTATTTAAAAGACTTCTTGAAAATCATAAACTTCCTGCAGAACCATTGGAAAAACCAATTATATTAACAGAGAGGTATGGTGAAGTAATATATTTCTTACTCTAAAAAGATTTATTAATCTATACTAGATTAGAAATTGGAGGTAAAAAGTTGAAAGTGTTTCTTAATAGGGAAAAGTGTTTCTTTAAAGAAATCTTATAAAAACTTCATTTCTGATCTTCAGTGGAAGTAATTGTTTTTAAGTAAATAATTTTAAAATGTTCTACATAGTTCTGCAATTAATAAATATGAAGCTTAATTCTCCTCCTGTGCATTAGTGACTTCCCTAGGGTAATTTTGAAGTGAAGTTGCCATAATAATTCTTTGGTGTGTGCTCTTAAACATTTAAAGGATATACCAAAATAGATCTGTACAATGAATACCTTTATCAACAATTTTCAAGATTTTGCCACATTTACTCTGCCCATGTATGTATGTGTGTGTGTATGTATATATATGCATATTTTCTTTCCTTTGCTGAAGTATTTTAGAACAATTCCCACTCATATGTCTTTCAGTATATCTCTCTCAAAAATGGCTATTTTCTTAGCTAACCACAGTGCCTTTGTCATAACTTACACAATAATAATCCCTTGGAATTGTTCCTTGTTGTCTCAAAATGTCTTTCCTGTAGTTTTAAAATTTTTAATTTGTATCTAGTCAAAGTCCAACCATTACATTTTGGTATGCTCACAACTCTATCTGAATACCACACCATTAACTTTTTATTAATACCGACACTTGCTCATTGGAATGTCTCGTCTCGAGACCCATCGCTGACCCGTGCGATGGTGGTCAGCTTGTTTTTCCCTCTCCTTTCTTTCAGTGGGAGTTAGCTCAGGAGGACAGAATGGATTTAGAGTCCACTTTCTGGTGAGATGGCCTCATAGACGGTGCCATGTGCTTTGTATTCAATCCCATCAAAGGCACTTATCCCTGGGTCAGCAGGTGACAGCCTGATCTCCCACCTTAAGTTCCCTGTCAACCTTTACATCTAATGTTTCATCCATTGGTTATTCTTTTGGAACTAATTTTATTACAGATTCTATTTTATTTTTTTAATATATTTTTATTGATTTCAAGAGAGGAAGGGAGAGAGAGAGAGAGAGAGAGAGACATCAATGATAAGAGAATCATTGATCAGCTGCCTCAGCACGCCCCCCACTGGAGATCAATCCTGCAACCCAGGCATGTGCCCTTGACCGAAATCGAATTGGGACCCTTCAGTCCTCAGACCAACGTTCCATCCACTGAGCCAAACCAGCTAGGGCTAGTATAGATTTTAAAACAGGGAGTTTCTTTTTTACATCCTATATGAGCACATTATTTTCTGTAAAAATGAATAATCACATTAATATTTCCCTTTTTTTGTACTTAATATTTCTTTTTTAGTGTGACACAGGTAGAAGAGAATCACAGGTACATCAAAGGAGATAAAAACCTGAAATGGAAAGATAATTAGAATTTGTTCTCTAGGACACATCCGCAGATAATTCTTTCAGACCTCTAAGAATAAATAAAAAATTACTTATAAAATATATTAAAACCTCTGTGTACCAGAAGGAAAAAGAAATGGGGCCGAACATTTGTAAACTATCTTTTATAATTAAGGCTACAATTACCACATTAACTGAAATCCAGCATCTCTCATAGTAGATTGGCTTAGGACTGTCAAAAGAAGAATCAGAAAAAGAGTTAATGCAGCCTTAAGCTGAATTAAAACAGTTCAAATATCTGATACTTTTCTCTTTGTTTCCTTAAAAAGAGCTAGGGTGTATCTGGAGTTTTCTGAAATGTGACGTCCCATTACAGTTAATGTAAGTTTTTCAGAACTGAGCTATGGACAGGGTCATTTGGGGTTGGGCTGTTTTCTCACTAGAATTCTCCTGAGGGGTGTGTAGCTTCTCTCTGAAGGGAGCAATTTAGAGAGCTGTCAAACAAAGTAGGAGCTCAACAATGGCGAATGGTTATTGAGCACTTACTTATGAAAGAGCTTTACTACGCCCTTTGCTTTCATGATCTTCATACCTGATGAGAGATAGGTACTATCGTTATCCTTATTTTATATGTGGGGAAACAGACATAGACTGTTAAGTAACTTACCCCGGCTCACATGGCTAATAAAGAAATAGTTGGATCCAAGCGTCCAATCTAGACAGTAACTGTAGAGCCTGCACCATTTGTTGCTGTGCTATATCATCACCACCACTGGCTCTCAGATTGGTTTTCTGAATCTTGGTTAGACCAGAGAGAGCACGTCTGATATGCAGCCAAAGGTTTCCACTCTGTGACATCTGTCATAGCCAGCGGGGTCCTTTGCCTTTCAGAGATGATAAGCAAAAAATCATCTCTTCATTTACTTTTTCAAGGGTCCAGGGCTGTAATGAATAAATAGCAGCTTAAAATTTTATACAGAAACATGGAACAGAGCCCTGCACACCTAAGACAGTACCTATCACTTGCTAGGCACTCAAGTATTCATTGACTGAATGGGAAAATGGTAACCTCTCACACGTCAACCCCAGCAGACACTTTATTGTAATGACATGTTTGAGCACTGTGATTGTGCCTATAACCAACAGGAAAGGCTAATTTGTGCCCTAGAGAATCTTTGGCTACCTCAGAATTTTGCTTAAAGCCTATACCACTCATACGCCACCGCTGGCCAACATGCCATGCCTGAAGGAAGCTCTCCCAGGCTCCGAATTACTGAATTTATAAGTTCCTGGAAGAAAGATATATATGCTTATCTTTTTATTATTGACTAACAATTGGAAATTATGTAGGCTGTACCATTTCAGTAACTTGGCAATATATTATGTGTCCGTTTAAAGGTATAAATGGCATTTATAGGTATAGTTTTCATTTGTATTATATTGAGGGAGCACACTTTTTTATTTTACATTTTATTTATAACATCGTAGAAGATAGGAACTGTCTTTTATATGTATTCTTCCTCCTTCTGTACGTTATATGTGGTAGGTCTTCTATAAAATATTAACAGAAATGTAAAAAAGTAAACTTCCTTACAGAGTTGCTGATGCCTTTGTATTTTGGTTACTAATAACACTTTTTAAAAGGCCTTTAGATTAACTATTTTCCATAAAATTTTAAATTTTATTTTACATATTTAATAAATTAAAGGACCATTATTTCTTTTTCAGTCTTTTTAATGGATCTCATTATTTAGAGATTTTATATAAAATGACAGCAGGTGACCAAAGCTACAGTGGATCAACTTACCTGTCCGATCCTCGTCTTACAGCAAATGGTTTCAAGATAAAATTGATACCAGGTATGATGATGTGGTTTAATATTTCCTCTCTTGGAAAAATAAATCTTGTTCCAGGAGACACATTTGGGTTTCATAATTTAGAGATATCATGGTGTATTTTTGTCTCACTAAAAGTACGTCAGTCACGTAAAAACAGCCATATTTCAGACATGTCACATCTGTCTGAAATAAGCAGGTTTGGTATCTCTTTCATTCTGTTGGCTTGAATTGCATTTCCATAACTAATCAAGTAGTTCTAATTTTTGCCATTCTTTGTCACAGTATTCAAATGCCTGCTCTGTCTAACTAGTTATTAAATGCTCATTCAGATGGTAAAGCAGAGGTAAATATGTAGCTCCTGGCGTAACCTAACAAAAACGGGCCTCATGCTTTTCCTTAAATCATTCTGGTGCTTTCTCTGCGGTTACATGCTGTTTGGAGAGTGGCTGATTGGATCCCCTGGCTTTACTAAGACTGTGTGATAGCACTCCTTGTTGGTATGGAAATTCACTGGTGGGGAGGAAAAAAGGCTCCCTCGGGCTGGGAGACTTCAGTTTTTCCTGGCTGGCCCTTTCTCTGTTCTTTCATTGTTCCCGGACTTCACCGCCTTCTGCCCTAGCTTCCTAAATGGGCAGCAGGGGTCACAAAGGCACCACCAAGAGTGATAATACTGTTCCTTCTTCCACCCACGCCTAAACTTATGACCAAAGTGTAGAAAAACAAGTTCAATCAAAACAGTGTTGACGATTTTTAAAGGAATGTTTTACTGAGATCTCAAAAGAAAATAAGTGAAAACAATGTGCAAAACCATGAAATTGGGTATAAGCTGAAAATACTTTGGTGTTCTGAACTTTAATTTTACGTGGCTTTTTCAGTTTTAAGGATACCTACCCTAAACTTCTTACCTACTCACAACCTCGGTCTTGGATAGTTAGATTTGGAGTAGAGTGTCTAAATTCCAACTCTGCCATTTCAACACTGTTTATGGGAAAGTGAGTTAGCCTAGATATTTCTTCATCAATAACAACTAGTAATTATTGAATATTCTTAATATTAAATGTCTTAATTTATTCTTCTAATAGCCCTATGAAGTAGGCTCTATTGCTGTCCCCACTTTATAGGTGGTAACATCAAAGCACAGAGAAGTTAAGTTTGCTTAGCGGTTCGCAGAGGTAGAACCAGGATTTGAACCCATGTAATCTATCTTTTAGAGCCTGGCTCTTAATGAATTTGTTATATTGCTTCCCTATCAAAATTGAGATATTTACATCATGAAGTAGTGAGCACCTAAACAAAGTACTCGCATGGTCAGTTAGCATAGTGGGTAGCAATGGGTTGATAGGTGTTCAAATACTCTCTTTCCTTCCCATCCTTTGGAGTCATTTCTTTTAGTCCTTCTAGAAATCTTCAGGACCCTGGCTCGTTTTTAATTTATTTCAGTGTGAAACAAGGTGTGTGTGTGTGTGTGTAGCAAGATATTTTTTCTTGACTTAATCTAATTTCCTAATTAACTCTTTGGTGTTGGTGGCTGGTGCCATTTTTTTCTCGAAAGATGTCATCACAGCCATTTTTTTTTAAATTAGGGTAACTGCTCTATCCATTCCAAGAGCATGTTTATTTTTGAGCTACCCAGTGAGTTTCTGACAGATGCTGTCAGCTCGTAGCTTGTAGATAGTGTTTTTAAAGTCTGACTGAATGCCAGTACTTTTTGCATGGCATCAAAGGTGTAAAAATTACTAAGACAGTCATCTGCAAACTGACTTGATTTGTTTGGAATTAACAGATTATCATGAGCATATCTTGTCAATAACAGATCAAATTAAAAACCTTCATGTTTTCTTTCTTAATTTTTTGGTTATTTTTCTTTATTAATTTTCATGCCATGTTTCTTAAAGCCCATTTCTTTTTCTTTTAGTGAGAGTTTTGTTGTATTGGACTTAACTTTGGATCAACAATTTGCCAGCTTTTACAAAACATCTTTGGATACAGGCAATGAAAGATAGGAAGAATACATCTGACTTTGAGGGAAAAGATTCTGAATGTGACCCTAAAAACTTTGCTTATTAATGGCATCGTTTTTTTGTTCTGCATCATTAAGAATTCCGTATTTTAGAAAGTGAAAACTTGTCAAACCACTTATTAATTTGGAGTATATTCTCTGAAAATTGGGAAGCATTTCACAGAATTTTATGGAAATGTATTGAAAGTTTATAGTTACATGGTTCCAGATATCTAAGTTTTTTATATCTGAATTTTGCAAGCACAGTGATTAAAATATTGCTCAGTTTCCTCATCTGTTGCCAAATGCTTTTTATCCATGTCCATAAGTAATTCTCTGAAATGTGTCGTTTTTCAGAGCAAATATAGTTGGCATTAGACTTTTCAATCAAATCATATTAGTAACAAGTCTCTTGACTGATATTTTTGTAAATTCCATATCGATATATATGTAAGATGTGAACTAGAATATTCTGCTACCTCCTCTTTGCCTGTCTAACCCCTGATTCAAGTCCCATTTAAGTTCCCTGGTTGCTCAAACTCCCATTTTGTCTCCATTCACTGAAGTCCGTATTGTATCCCTCACTGGCTGATCGTACATGTGCTTATTCTGGTCGTCAGTGTTTCCCAGGAAGAGCATTTGGGTGCTGCTCTGCTTAGTGTGCCGCTGCATTGCATCTGCCGTCCACGTCAGGGCCTGGTCTGACTGAGAACGGGCCAGGGATAGGGTCGTCGCCATCTCAGGGTCTGAAACTCTTCGAGCTACACCACTCCTCTTTTTGTTTTTGTCCATCCATTTACAGCTCATTTATACCACTTTCCAACTTTGGACTGTCTCATTTTCTTTACTTCAAAGTAACATTCTCTGGACTTCAATATTAAGAATACTGTTACACAGATATAGCCAAAGAAAACAAGTCTGCTATTTTCCAAAGCCATAACGTGCGCTCTGATGCACAATTTGATGCTTTGGAATGAATATATGCTATTACAAATCTTTTACCTAGTTTTATATTCAATGATATAGCTAGTTATTAGTTTTATTTTAATCATTAAATTATTTAGAATAGCTTAAATAATAGATAACATGTCCGTTTACACATTGTCCTAGTAAAATGTATTGAATAAACATTAGCATTTCATTTCCTCAAATTACTAATCTATAATAATAAAAGCATAATATGCTAATTAGACTGGATGTCCTTCTGGACGAAGCCGGGTCTGCGAGGGAAGCCCAGGTCCCAGGTGACTGCCGGTGACCGGAGGGTAAGCCCAGGTCCTGGGTACCAGAGGGAAGCCGGTGCCGACAGCCACGGGAAAGAAGGCCTACTCTTGCATGAATTTTGTGCATCGGGCCTCTAGTATATTAATAAGCTACTCACTATGATGGTAACCATTTTGCAACATGTTTATCAAATCAATACTTTATATACCATACACTTATATAATGTTATGTCAGTTATATTTCAGTAAAGCTGGAAAAAAATTCCAGCTGTATTTTTATAATTTGTAAGTTAAAATAATCATTGAAATAATCCACGTCTTTAAGTTAGGTATTAAACCAGTAGGCTTGAACTTGAACAGCAGCAGTTGTTAAAACACTTAGAGCAGTATTATTTTAATAAATATCATGGGACTCCATTTTCTCTCTAAAGAAAGAAATCTTCTAAACAAATGCAGGGAATAGAACAGCAGTCATTGAGATTAAATGATACAATGCGCATGTGGTTTCTACAAACACATATGACTTACTGGGAATGTGAAATCCTATGGGAAATTATTATTTGTTCTCCCAACTAAGGAACAAAACTTTGTCCTGACTATATTACATTCTATGAAGGTTCACTACATCCTCAAACAGTGGTTTTGTTTTTAATAGATATTTTCTGGAATATAATTTAAACACAACCAAACTAATGGTAAATATGGTATTTTTTTGGTGTTCTTTTTTTCTTCTAGGAGTTTCCATTGCTGAAAACTACTTAGAAATAGAGGGAATGGCTAACTGTCTTCCGTTCTATGGCGTGATGGATTTAAAAGAAATTCTTAATGCTATAGTCAACAAAAATGCAAAAGAAGTTTATGAATGTAGACCTCGCAAAGTGATAAGTTATTTAGAGGTATGCATTATTCAGTTATGTTGGCTGAGGTTTTAAGATACTTAACTGTTCCTTAATAAAATAATAAATGGTTTCAACATAGTAAAGTTTCTATAAGGTTTATTATTGTTTGCAAAAGGGAAATACTATTAAAAAAAAGAAAAGAAAAGAAAACTCCTTTAAAATAAACTGGCTGTGGTAAACTGTTGTGGAATCTTACTATAACGTTACTCCTTGAGTACATACTGAGGAAGAGCCTTGTGCACGAGACTTTTTGTAGTGAAGTTCTTTTTGTTGTTTTTGTTTTTTTAGAAGGGATTCAAAATTGCTCCATCAAAATACCAAATACTTGTGTAAAAAGAACTGTAATGTGATTTTCAAGAGCAAAAGAGGAGAAAGAAAATGAAAGAGGTAGATTACTAAGTAAATGGAAATTGTAGTTTTCTAGCACAAATGAGATATGCAGCAGTGGGCTAAAAAATAAACTCAAAAGTAATAGAGGGTAAGGGTAGGGAACGGGAGACATCTACAATACTATCAACAATAAAAAATATGTTGTAAGAGAGGGTGGAGGAAGATTATAAACTTTTAAATGTCCAAATTTCATAGTGGTGGGAAAACAATAGTAATTGTCTCTATTTGAGCCTTTATCCCTCAAGGTTGACTAGTATTATTTTTAAAGTGAA